AAAAAAATTTTTTTAAATAAAAAAAAAAATAAAAAAGGGAAACAAAAATGTTTGTTTTTTATTTTTGGGGGGGGGGGGGGGACTTGCAATAGTAGCTGGTTGCAAAGTGAATATGAACCAGCAGTATAAAATGTTTTCAAAACAGGCAAATGCAATTGTACAGAGAAGTATAGTTTCCAAGCCATGGGAGTAACAGCTTATTTTATGTAGACCTCAGTATCAGTTGTGTCTGGTACTACGCACAACACTTTAAGAAGGATTCAGACAAACTGGATTAAGTTCAAAGAAGAGACTGATGTTGATAATAGAACTTAAAACAATTCAATTAAGAGACTGAAGAGGCTGTGTATGTTTAAACTGGAAAAAGACAACTGGAATAATTGATAGCATTCTTCAAATATCTGAAGTTGCAGGAGAAGAGCTGTGTTAGTCTAGGATTGCCAAAAATTTGAAGAAATCTGGAAGCACCTTTTCAGACTAACAAATTTTATTAAAAAGTATAGCTTTTGTGAACTACCTGGCTCTTTCTGATTTTCTGTATGAAAGAATGCCATACAGAAGAAAGTCAACCTTTTCCTGATACAGAATAATGGAATCAGGTTATATTGAATGTTCTCATTGAATGTTCTCACTGGATGTAACAAAAACCTTTCTAACAATAAGAACAGTGTTAACCAATTATGGTGAGATGTGATTTATTCCCTTCTCTACCATTAAAATACTATTTCAGAAGGAAGATTCTAAATTAGCCTTTTCCTAACTGGTTGTTTCTGAACTGAATCCAATGAGCCTCATCAAACAGCTCGTTCAGAAGCATGTTGAGAATTACAGTTCATTAAAAGGCCATTTCTGCTCGCAGCCCTAGGAAGCAGGTAATGGCAAACCACTTCCAAAATCTTGCCAAGGAAACTGCAGGGACTTCTTCAAGTAGTCACCAGGAGTCAAGACTGATTCGAAGGCACTAAATAAATAATAAATAAACAAGCTTGTATGTCATCCAACTCTCAATATCTAAACAGGACTCCTTTCCTTTCCTGTCCAGTTATCTCTTGTTTTTGCCTCATCTAGTTTTATTCCCCCTTTCTCTTTCCTTCCTTTCCTTGTGCAACTACCACACCTTGCCTGCATTCTGTTTTTTTTCTTTTTTTTCTACTGTTTCTGCGAGGAGGAGAAAGGGGAATGACTATGTGTTTAAGAAAGTGATTTCTATATATCAGAGACAGCAGCTGATATATTCATATAGAGAATTTTATAAATGAAGCTGGGGCACCTGTGGGATCTTGCTGCCTTCGTCAAAATGACAAAAGCCATGCCACATTTTACCCTTTTCATACTTGTATGTACACATAAAAGGGGCACAGCGTATACTGTGATGCTTTTATCAGTCTAACCCCCCCCCCTTCCCTCCCTATGAACACCACTAAAATGAAGTATTTTACACTTAATTACATTTAAAGTCATTACTGATTTGTTTGTTGGCTTTAACAGTTATTCCTTCTCTCCATTACTCTATTAAACCAAGAATTTACTCTCTGCATGCGCGCGCGCGCACACACACACACAGCCTCCAGTGGAATATCAAACAGTGCAATTTAATGAGTTTCTGCACTGATGCCTTGACAAATTCTAGTACGAAAAAATCATGAATTATTAAGTATTAAGTCAATGTTAAGAGATTCAATCTATATACAATAGAGAAAGTAATTTTAGAAACTGAAGAATGAAAGTGCAAACTTCAAATTGCTTAATTATTGTGCAGCTAATAAATAAATAACAAAAGGGATTCAGTCCTAAAGCTTTATGAGCCTTAGTGACTTCATTACAGCATCAAGATGTTTCAGCTGGAGGTCTCAGTAAGGAATACTAAATTTTCTTCATTCTATAACTTTATTAATCCTTCCCTAATCAGAGCAGTTTATTACAAAGCAAAAATAACTGTTGCTTAAAGGACTGAAATAACTCAGTGATTTATCAATACATTTCTTAAAATGTAATAGTTTACTTATTTATAAGCTACTAGTTCCATTAACAGCAACTGGCTTACAAATAAACAATAAAAAGCTCATTCAAAACCAAAAATATAAAATACTAAATTAATTACCTTGTAACATTGAAAGTTTCCAGTGACAATTGATTACATAAAATTGGCCCTACAATAGAGAAATTGATGGCATGTGGCATCCATGACATGACCTGCAACAGTCCTGCATCGATGACCAAAAACCAGTAACAGTTTCCTGTATTTTTGCAGCCCAAACCTGGTAGCCAACCTAATATGCACCAATATTAAGATCAGGTTCTGATACTTCTATGAACAGTAGCAACAACCCTAAAAAGCAGCAGTTTGTTATCAAAATAGAGCCATGAGTGATACATTGCATGTTTTAGATACACATCAAACCAGCCAGAAAACCTTTCTGGAGCATTCCATTCTTTCCTCAAACAATACTGATTCAGCCATTCACCAGCCCAGAGGTTTTCTGGAATGTAACCCCTCAAATTAAAAGTGCTTTGTGGTGTTCCAAATATAGTGTTTTGGAAAATACAGGCCTGTTTCAGGTATGGAAAGAATATGGAATGGCAGCTTTTATATAATCCTAGTTACTACATTACTCGCTATACACCTATACATTTTATAAAAAAAATTAGTAACATTTGTATAATTTTCAAAAACAATTTGAAATCTAACATTTCAATTATTTAAGTTGGCAACTTATGACTATACGCTGAAAGAAAATGTAGAGTAAAAATAAATTCATTTACAGTTATCGCATAGGATGGTAGGTAATGCTAGTATTTTCCATTTCTAGGAAAATGCAGAAGTTATTAAAAAAAAATCCTAGGAAAAACTTAACTTTTCATTAATATTAAATAGAATGGTACCCTCTAGTGGTAGATATAGTAACTGTTGGAAATGCTTCAGGTAAATCTGACCATTTTGTTTCAGTTTAATTCAGTTTTCAAACTGCCATCTGCTAGATGTCATAAGTAAAAGGCTTAAGTTATTTTACCTTAAAAAGATTTTAAATAGAATCTTATTTGACTGTTATGCCATGATAAAATGAAAGATACAATTGTTTTCTTGAGGAAGATACAAAATGATAGCATGAACACAAGGTATATACTATTATCAAAAATGGCAGCTTATTCTTATTACAGGTATCCTAATAGCTACAAGTTGACAGTAGATTTATTCTTTCTAAGAACAAACCTAGTGAGGAATACTGGAAGGAACCTTTGAAACATTATGAATGCTTAGAGGAACTCCCAGAACATGCATAACTAAGTGTGTGCGTGTGTGTGGGGGAATAGGTCACCAAATATAGATATGAAATTTGAGGTGTTAATGGTGAATCCAGGCCTGGTAAGAGAAGATTTACTTGTCCCAAACATCACATTCTTATTGTACCATTTGTTTTTGATCACTCTCTATTCTTCCTCGTTTGTCATTTTTCTGTAGATCATAAGCTTAAGGTCTAAATTTCTTTTTTTAATTGATATGAGCTGTTTTGGAAAGAACAGTGATCAGAAAAGTAGGATAAAAACAATGTTTTAGTGACTGATTTATTTAAAAGACCATTTCCTTAACAGACAACATCTGTACATCTTAAAGAATCTTTAGAAGATGCCTCCAAAGTTAATTTTAAAGAATAAATAGGGAGTAAGAGGATAAATTATTAAATCAGGTAATCATCTTAATGCACTTTAATTTAAACTTAGATTGAATTTAAAACTGGTGTGTGAAAACTACATGTTCAGAACATATGTTATCAGTTAAAATTATCATCAACTGAATTAACTTCAGTTATTAACCTTCTTGCTAGCTTCCTTGTATTGCTCACCTATATATGTGTTATATACAGTGTTATATGGTTATACGTTATATGGTAATATATGGTTCGTTACAGATAAATTATTCAACCTCCAAATGGTGTAGCAGTGATATAGCTATAAAAATATACCTCACACAAAGTCGCCTGAGTCCTTAAAGTCAGTG